TTAATTAATAATTTTAAAATTAATTACAGCTTCATCATTAATATTTATTTATAAGTATTTAAATAATATTAAACATAAATAAACCAAATTATATTCTGATATAATTTAAATAATTTAAATACTTATTTATTTTTCTATTTATATTTTTATTAATAGATATTTTCATCATTATTATCATTCTGTAATTTTATCTGATTTTTAATATTTTTTTTTTGTTATATCTAATTACTTAAAATAAAATCACATGCTATATATATATGATAGATGAATAAATACATTATATTAAAAATATTAAGCCATTTATTATACTTCAGACCAAATATATATAAGAATAAGTATGAATTAATAAATTAAAAAAAAATACTATAATTAAATATATTAAAATACTTATAATAAATATAAAATAGCATTTAAATATGTAAATTATACTTTTATATTGTTAACATGTGATTTTATTGAAATGCTACAGTTAAATGAGATATTCAAGTGTTGTTTCTTTTTAATACACGTAATAATCTACTGATTTATTTCTAAGTCCTGAATTTATAACTGATATCATTCAGATGTAATAAAATAGTATTTCACAAAGACTTGTATTTTATCACAAAGATTTACAATGACTGTAATTATCATAAAGGCTTAAAATATCACTCTAATTCATAAAGGTTTATATAATATCATTTAGATTTATAAGATCACACAAATGTATTATATAATTCAGACAAAGATTTAAAATATCACGCAGATGTATAAGATAAATAATAAAATAGTTTATTGATAAATAATAAGAAAGAAAAAAAAAAAAGAAGAAATAAAAGAAATGAGATAAAAAAATATGAAAAGAGGATTTTGCGAAAACAAAAGAACACACAACTATTTCAGTTATTTCTAAGAGAATTATTGCATACAGCTAAGTTGGATTCTACCTTTTTACAAGTTCTAAAAAACTACTGTATTTATATCTTTTCAATTAAATATAATAATAAATTAAATATATTAATAAACAAATTATATCTATTACGCTAATTATTTTAACAATGTTGATAATATTATTAATGTCAATTATATCAATAATGTCAAGAATATCATGTAATACAGATAGATCATTTTGTAAATACATTATATGTAAAAATGATAAATAATACATGCAATATAAACATATATAAAACACGTGATACCGTTGCTAGTGATACGTAGTAATTTTCTATGTAATTACAATTAAATTTATTATTATATTTATAAATATTAATTGTTTTGTATTAAAAATTTTAAAGCTTCCCATCGTGTTCAAAGTTTACTTGTATCTAAAGAAGTTGATTTGAGATTCAGAAGATCAGCTTAGTTCAAATTAACTATAGGCAAGTTAATCACAAGTTTAATTGTTCTTTAGCAAAATTGACTACTAGTCAACTTATTCTCAAGGCAAGTTATTCTTCTGATTTATAAGTATAAAAAGGAGGAATTGATAACTTAGTTTGAATAGAAAAGCTTCTAATGACATTATAATAATATAATAAAAAATACCACTAATATTCTATTAAATTTTTTATTCGCTATAGTAATTTTGTAAGATCAACATTTAATAAAATTGACTTCAAAGACGATGTTGAGGCATTTTTAATTTTTATTAAATAATTTTTGCATAAATTAAAATCTTTCTGCTATATTGTATTAAGAACTAATTGCAACAATAAATTAGTATATTACTGACATCTCAATTTTCGTTATCTTATTTACTATATTCTTTTGAGCTGACGCATTTACAGAGATATCTAAGAAGATGAATTACGTCTTTTTTAGGTATATGTAACCTTAGTCCTATCATTTGTATATCATATAGATTATATAGTGTAATTAGGTAATTTCTAATCATATTATCAATTTCTGATTCACTTTTGCTTTTAATTTTATTCATTCTTTTACTGCTTCACATCAAATATCAGTATGATTAGGAGTACAATTTTCTGTTTTAACTATAATGTTATATATATAAATGTTAATGAACTCTTGATATTTATTTGCTGATGAATTATAAATCAGTTTTTTATTAAACATAGGACTAAGCAGCATAGTGGTCATGCTTAATTTTATCACATTTTGCAGATCATTTTACCAATCATTTGCTGATCATTTTTCATTTTATCACATATAATAAACACCATAAAAATGAATTTTATTTAAATTAATTAGCTTTTATTGGAATATTCTACATATTAAAATTTTACATATAGCTAAATTTTATTACCATATATTATAATATCAAATTTTATCATTATTGAACTAATATTGGTTACCTTTTACTAGAGCAAACTAATTACAATAACATAAAAAAGTGCCAAATCAATTTATTATTTAAGTAAATTAGTACTGATTGAAATATTCTACATAATAATATATACTAAAATTTATCATATAAATATATATCAGTATGTAGTATTCTAATAATAAATTTTACTAAAATTGAATTAATATTAAGTAAATTTTACTAGTAACAACTTTTACAATTTAATTTTACAATTATTAATTCATAATTCGTGAATAAAGTAGAGAAAACTACTATTCGAAATCAGGGCGCTGATCATATGATTATATAGTAAACTAATTCTAATTAGCCTTTTTTAATTAAGCTAGAGCCATCACTTTATACAACATGGGCATCATATTAAATATGCTAATAATAAAATACTATATGCATATTTTTTTTTGTATTTTTGCGCCATATTGTAAATAAAACTTTAGACTTTTATTTGATATAACGCCAGATTCCCACCTATAAATATGACAAGCAAATTTGTAATTTCAACTTTTTGATCTTTTATTTTGTATTGTTATGTTTATTTATTAAATTTTTAGGGTTTCTAATACACCATTAACCTGCACTAAAGCTCATTGAGCTTGTACTTTACGATGGGTTTGTACATACCAAGTTATCCAATTACTAACTGTAGAAACTTTTGGAATTTCCTCCACTTCTAAAATTCCTTCTTCTACTAGTTCTTTTAGTTTATTATACATTTCTTGAGCTGTATATTTTCCACTTTTATTAACATCTCCAGCTAAAAAATACGCTTCAAGGTATGGAATCACATATTTGCTTATTCACTTTCCCCTCCTTTTTTACCAAATTTCTGCCTTTCTTTAAAAGCCCATCTACTCATCAATGAAAAATCCAAAGTACAAGCTGAAACTTATTTTGAATCTGAATTAGTGCTGGCAGTTTCAGTATTTGATGTGTCTTGGTTCAAAAAGGTAAGTTTTGAATAAATGTAATAATTACAATTTATAAGTAAAAATGCCTACCTTTATTTTGTTCTGATATTTCTTTATCTAATCTATTTTGTAAAATCCCTGGTAATATAGCTCTATTATTTATGCTTATTGTATCAATATCATAATCTTTCAACTTTCGTTTCAATTCTTCAATAGTGAAATGACTTGCGTTGACTCCTATCTCAAAAAATCCAAGCATAAAGATTATTACAATCAATTTCAAATCAATTTATAATTTTACATACTTGATTTGTGACATATTAGCACGCTCCAATCAGAAGTTGGAGTTGAATGATCTGAGACATAAGGACTAGGTTTTTCAAGAGATTGTTTCTCAAATTTTGTTATGTTTGCTGACTCAAAATTATTTGATTTCACAATATTTGGAATTGCATGAGCCTGGATAAATCCTGCATATTCACCTTCTGTTGGCTAGGACCATTCATTTCAGTTAGAATTTCCAGGTACAGTCAACCCTTAATATAACGAATTTTATGTCCTGAACTTCAACTTCGCTATAGAGCTATAGTGAATTTTTTAAAGAATTTGATTGGCTAGTTCGTTATAACGAGGGTAAATTTAATATAGTTGTCCAAAAAATTCATTATATAAAAATTCGCTATAGAGAGGTATGACTGTATTGAATTTTTCTTTCGTCTTAGTTCTAAGTTATAGCAGATTTTTTTTATATTATTACATCATATTAAATTTATTTTTATATATAAAAAACATACCCTTCTTTCTTTTAGGTTTCAGGCATGCTACTAAAGTACCACAGATGTGTTTAAGGGCATTCTCTTTGTCAGCACCTTTACTAATATCAAATCCTAATCGAACATAACAGTTTATCACATGTGAGATCTAATTCAAAAAATTGGTAAATATAAATAGTAATAATTTTTTGAAGAATCAATACATACTTGAGCGTGATGAGAATCAATTAAAGTCTTCACTTTACCCGCTTTTAAAAAATCCATTTTCTCACTATAATATTATACCATTCATTCCAATGTCTTAAAATTAACATTAGGTCTGCATTGTGATAATATTGGTCATTATCAGAAAGGAAGGTAATCCATTCTGGTTTGATTTCAAGTGACTCAATTACTGCATACAAAGATAAAGTGGTAAACCACGCGTCAAGACATGAGTCAGTTGACCAGTGATCGTATGCTTGAATATCTAATTGCTAATCAGATTTTTGTGTATATATAAGAGTTGAGTGCAAAATCCTGCCCTTTTTTCCAAAAATGCATTTTTTGTTTCTCTAGCGCTTTTAGGTAAAATTTTCATTTTGTAATCCACTATTATTATGGCACCCTTTTCATCCAAATCTAACAAATTTGCGTTAAATTGTGTGTTTAAATATGCCTTACACATTTGATGACTCAAATAATAGAAAATTTGATCTTGAAATTCATGAATCTTCTCATGAATATCATCTGAAGTGTTTTTTTTAATATCAATAAAAAATTGAAATAATTCATTACAATTTGAAAATATGTGAATATGTTGTTCATTACATGCATCAAATGCAAAAAGAAGGCAATGGTTGATACATGAATCATGTGCAGCTTTACCATCAAAATTTACTGTCAAATGTGATTCATATTTTCTTTTAAAATATCATTTTAGTTTTTCTCCTTGATCTATTAATTGATTTTAAGAGAAATTATTAGTGGAATACAATGATATTTACAAAAATAATAGTGAATATTACCTGAATATAAAGATTGCTAACATGATGCTGAATAAACTTGGTAAGCTCATCAAATGTTTCATAGCCATACATATTGCATATTGAACATAAACCACCCAAATTTTCATGATAAATATATCTATTGCCTGTTAAATACTTATAAAAAGTTGTTCTTTTTATTCTATCAGGATAACTTTCTTGGAATTTTTCCCATAATTCATTTTTTATATTTTTGAGATAATGGACTGGTTCTTGTGTAGCAGTATCTATCTTATATGAGCTCATTATTACATTGCCTTATCAGAAAAAAATCATTCTAATTGTTCTCTTCTTTCCTGTCCTAATCTGTCCATGATAATAGTTGGTTTTTGTATTTGTGATGCACCTGGTCCATTGATGCGTGCATATTGTCAAACTTTTGATATTGTATTTGTAGCAACCTATAAGATTTATAATATTTAATTCAATATTTTTTTAACAGCCAATACTACTGTGTTTACAAACTAACCCCTAATTTTGATTTTAGCTCTTGATACGTAAATTGTG